GTGAGAGCGGAGGGGGTGGAGAGAGGGAGCGTAGCCAGAGATGCCACTGCACTGCAAGTAAGCTGGGCTGCGCATTGCTGCTTCCAGGCGTTTATATGGCTTTTTAATGCCTGAAAAACTGGAAGAAACTTACTTTAAAGAGGAAAGGAGTAAATACTCGGGCTACACCCAGGATAGCAGCAGGGACCTGCTGCACAACCCAGCATAGAAGGAGGGTTGATGTTGGGGTGCTCCTGCTCAGCCTGCAGGCACCAATGAGGGGGACAGTTTTGGGTCACACGTCCCACAGGCTGCCCTGAAGCTCAGATGTGTGTAAAGGGGGCTGCAAAGTCTCTGCAGCCATCCCCAACACAACCTCCAGACTGCTCCAGCAAAACCCCTGGGCTTGTGACCTGATGGGTACCAAGTGCCTGCAAAGGAGGAGCATTTACCAGCACCGTCTCCAAGCTTAATCCTAAATGCAAAGTCCATATGCAGACAGCCTGAGGGTCACAGCTGATGCTCATGGACCTTTGTGCTGTATCTGGAGGCACGGCTGCCCTGTAACAGTGGCAGCTGAGGGAGCTCGGGCTTCCAGCCCAAATCCTGCTTACCCATACTGCGACATAAATTAAAAATAAGCCCTTGCTTTGAGCTGATTTTCTCCTCATTCCTCTGGATGTCATTTGGATTCAAATCCAGCTGCTTTTGGGAAGCTGGAAGCTTGCAAATCTCAACTTTTGAATGTTTGCAGTTATGATGGTAATGGTAAAGCACATATGCTTCTGTGTTCTCTATAAGCCGTTATGAGGCACAATTGTTCTTTTACAGCCGTTTTACAGCCAGACCATCAAGCACAGGCAGAAGGATAAAACCCTTGTACACACTGGGCTGGAAATAGGGTGGATGGTGGCTGCTTTGGGCTCAGACATCTCAACTCTATGCCTCCCCCAGCGCATTTAGCTTTGCCCTGATTTAGTTTTCCAACACCAGGAGCCCAAGATCTGCTTTGGTTTCCCCTAATCCACTGAGCCTCTGATAATCTGAGGAGGGGAGTAGCATCTTATTGCACATTAGCCCAGCACTAGACCCCAGGGATCCCTAATCACAGTCCAAGGGTCCCTTATCCCAGTCCTAGACAATGGGTCTGAGAAAACTCAGAACTTCTGAGTAGAATGCTGATGGCCAAAGAAAATTCCCTCACAGAGACAAAGGCAAAGGGAGACTCTTCCTCGGTTTTAGCCCTGGCTTGGAACAGAACCAGCTTCAGTAGCTGAAGTTTCGGAGGGAAGCAGGTTTCTCTGGTGTATCCTGGGGAATGGTGGGGGTAGTGGGAGCATGCACATGCTCCATGTACCCTCAGGGATGGTGGCAGGAGCTCTGCCTCTCCTCTGCCTCCAGGCAGGGGACAGTGTCGCTGCGCATGCTGGAAGCTCTGCCTGACAGCTTTCCTTCGCCTTCAGCTCTTCCTAGCTGATGATGTCGGGTGTTAGCTGCTGATTTGCAAGCAGCAAAATCCGCTCTGGCAGCACTCCTCAACACACAAGCAAGAGGTGCTGGAGCCCTCCTATCACAGCACAGCCCTTCGAGACGGGGCATCCACCCCACAGCAGCACCCTTTCCCTCATTCACCCCTTGGCCCTGGGTCCAGCTCAGTCCTGCATAGTAAAAATCACTTTTTTGGGGGGCAAAGTGTCTATGATTCCCCGGGTGGGGGGAGGAGGGGGCTGGCTGGATAGTTTTGGGGATCCAAACACCCACTGATAGCTTTTCTCAGGAGCTGACTGCACCCCAAATCTTCCCACAATCAGAGAGGCTCCACGGCTTTACTTCACATTGATGATGGTGATGGCTCCCTCCTCCTGCTGCTCCTCGGGCAAGAGCCTGGCAGCTCTGCTAGGCTTGCACCCCCATGATCAGCGGGGATCTAGGTCTGTCGGGCTCTCTGGCTGTGACAGAGAGGATCTTCTCCAGATCACCGTGCCCTGCCAGAAACAATCTGTTTACAGTGTCAGCGCTCGGCGTATCCCTCCCCGCTCGGTGTTGAACCGCCCGTATATCCTATTTCTGCAGGCGCAGAGACACCCTTCTGTAGTCCGGGTGGCATTGTCACTACAGGGAATATTTCCGTGACATCCTCCAAGGCTAGTGGTCAAAGTCTAATGGAGCTCTTCTCCCAGATCCCCGTCCCTAGAAGCGCCCGCGGATGTTGCAAGAATGTTTTTTGCTTTTTCTCCGGAGGTCCCTGCTGACCTGAATTTTTCTGCGGGTCCTGCCGCTGCTTGCCAATGATGTGAGGGTGTAGGTGCCGGGCTACAGGACTTCCCTCTCACAACCCCCTCCCTTTGGGGATGCAGCTAGTGGCTGGGTCACTTATTTGACAAAGATGAGCTGACGGCTCAGCGGGGCTGCGGGCTGCAGCCCCTGGTGCCAGCACTGCACGGAGCCAGCCCTGGCCGGCCCTGCGCGCCGGGGACGTGCCGGGCGGGTGCCCCCTCTGCACCATGCCCTTGGTTTTGGCTTCCTTCTGGGTTGATGCACGCAGCTAACGCCTGCGAGCGGCTCTTCCTCCTTCCTTCTAGCACCCGCAGACCCTTTAAATCGGCTGCTTCACACTCAGTAAACACCCTCCCCCTCCTTAAAAGCGTTCCCTTTCTCCCAGGTCATGCCAGGCAACCATTTTCCAGCAAACTCCCCGATTTTGGCCAGTTTTTCGCTCTGCCTGTTAACAGTCTGTTAAACTCTGCGGGCCCCCGGGGCGACTCTGCTCGCACACACGTCGGGAGCAATCACCCGGTGCTGGGAAAACGATTGCTGGCGTTACCTGGGCAAACTTTGCTTGCGCAGCTTCTCTCAAGGCCGATGCTGCTTTAGGCTATTAGTGGTAACGACCCCCATGTCTGCAACTTCCAGACGATAGGACCTTTCATCAGAGAGCCCTCCCAGATGCAGGGAAAGTGTGGCTTTTGGAGGCGAGCAGTTTTCTTTCGCCTCACTAGATTTCCATCTCTTTCAGGAAGCTCTGGAGGTTACAAGCTACCTTACCTAATGGATCTCTATTAGGCTGAGGCACTGGGGGCCGATCGGACACGTCCCGGGTTCCAGCTGCTCTCCTCATCCATGTTTTCAATGTCTTTGACTTTTGCCAGACTCCAGATGGGAAGCGAACGGGGCGTGCAGGGCTCAAGCTTGGTGAATAGGGAAAGGATATTTTATCCTCTAAATCCATCCCGCAGCAAAACACACAAATGTTTCACCCTCTGTGGGGTAGGAAGTTTTTTGTGCAAAGCTCTAGCCTGAAATATCGGATTGCCGTGATGCACACGCAGGATTATGATGATGGAGTATTTCATCCCATGTGAGACCATCAGCCTACCCCCTGTGGTGTGTCAGGTAAGGCACGGCTCCTGAGGACAGGCTGGTCCATGGGGATCAGTGTTGGCCTGAAGGAGGCATCTGCCAGAGGGAGCTGAGCCTCCCCGACCTGTTTAATCCTACCTCCATCATTATAATTTCTTTTTGTATCACCCCTGGGCTGGGGTCTCCTGTGTCAGCACTATGCAGCCCAAGGGCAGCCACATTCCCCAGGTTAGAGTACCAACAAGACTAGACAATGCATCATTCACCTTCTCTACCACAGAGCATGGAGGGAATATATGCCCAAGAATATACTGGCGATGCCAGATTTGCTGACCTTCCCTGGTACAGGATTTAGGTCTGTCTGGAGGTGATGAGGCTGCAGCCACAATTCCCATATGTCACTGCCCCTCACCCCAGCCACCCTTGTTACAGGCTGTACAATGTGTTAGTGCTGGGCAAGGGGCCCGACGGCCCTTCAGTTTGCCCCACCCTGCTCTTGCCGCAATGGTCTCAGAGCAGGGAAAGCAAATCATGCCCTTCTGGGAAGAGGAGCTGGCAGTGAGGATGAATATCACCTTTATTGGTGGTGTACCTTTATTGGTATATACCACTCTGGCTGGGTGGCACCAGCCAGAGACCAGAGCAGTGGGTGCACATTCCCCAGAGAGTCTGAACTTCGAAGTCCAAACACAGGGCCAGCCAGTGGCTGGCTGAAAATCATTGTGACTCTGTGGAGGATGACTTTCTAGGGGTGCTCCAATAGCCCCCCACTTTGCCCATCCTAGAGCCTCCCCGTCAACATCTCCCCTTGGAGGATGCTCTGATGTTCACAAGGGACTGGGACTGCTGTTCTCCCCCCTTCCCTAAGTGTCCCCCCGCTGAGGGGCTGCAGAAGGGCACCCCACCACCCCGGGGGCTCTGTCCCCCCAGCATACACCCCTCCTGTACCACCAAGTGCCAGCTTGTGGCCCCGCAGCTCCGGTCCGGACGAGTGGGGGTGCCGCGCGTGCCACGCGTGCCCGGCCGCCCGCGGCGGCTGCCCGACGGGGAGAGCGGGTGTCCTGCCGCCCGGTGGCGGCGGGGAGCCTGGCAGAGGACTCGGTGAAGGATCTTCTCCGGTTTCCTCGGGAGGCTGTCAGGCGGCGGGGGAGCCGAGCCCCCCGCGCCTCCCTGGCCGCGCTGGCTCCCTCCCCCTCTCCCCCGCACTCCTCCTCCTGCTGCTGCTGCTCCTCCCGCCCTGGTGCGAAGGGCTTTTGCTGCTTTTCCCTTCTTTCTCCTCCCTGTCTCCTCGGCGGAGCGCGGTGCCGGGAGGCGCAGGCAGAGGAGCGAGGATGGGGCGGCCGCCGGCGCCCGACCCGCCCGCCCGCTCCCGTCGCCCGCCGCCGCGTCCCCTCCCCGGCCGGCGGGAGGCGGCGGCTCTCCCATACCGCCCGCCTCGCCCCCTGCTCTGAATCTCTGCTCATCGGCCGATCTGGGGAGAAACGGGGAGGGGGTACGTCCCCTCGCACTTTTTTTTCCCACTCACTTCTTTTTTTCTACCCTTTTTTGCCTTCCCTCGATTACGCCCCCCTTCTCCCCAGCCCGTTTCTCTTCCATCGGGGCTCTTCGGCGGCCATGCGGCCGGTCTCGGGCGAGCGGCTCTAACTCGTCTCTTCGCCCGGATGGCCCCCCAGAGCCGCGGGCGGATGGAGCCGACCTATGTTGTGGGTATCTGCTGCCTGGTACTGCTGGAGCCGGCTCGGGTGTGGAGCGGCGACCCCAGCACCAGGGGTCCCGGGGAGAGCGGGAATAGCAGCCAGGCACCGCCGCCGGAGACCACGGTTCCCGCGCCCACCGGAGCGGCACCACCGGGGGGGGACCGCTGCCGCGGGTACTACGACGTGATGGGGCAGTGGGACCCACCGTTCAACTGCAACGCCGGCATCTATCAGTACTGCTGCGGGACCTGCGGGTACCGCTTCTGCTGCCAGTTCAAGCCCGGGAGGCTGGACCAGAGTGGCTGCTCCAACTACGACACCCCCAACTGGGTCAACACGGGCCAGCCGCCTGCCCGGGTGGACGAGACCCCCGAGGATCCCACTCGTGACAAGACCAACATGATCGTCTACATCATCTGTGGTGTGGTGGCCATCATGGTGCTGGTGGGCATATTCACCAAGCTGGGCCTGGAGAAGGCACAGGGTCCCCAGACAGAAATGACCGTCTCCAGGTAAACGGGTCCAGTCCCCCCACCTTCCCTGCTTCCTCTCCCCATGGGTGGCAGCTCATGTTCCTAGCCCGTTGCGTAGATTCAGCCCTGGCTTCACCTTGGGACTGCCAAGAGGGTGAGGTGATCCCTAAAATCCCTGCCGGAGCATGCTGATACATCAGGGGGTGTGTTGGCTGCAGCCCACTAACCTGGTAGGGAGGGCTGGCAGCCAGGACAGCCTCCACGAGAAGGGGTGGCTGTACACCCATCTCCTGTCAAAATGACCTGCTCTGTCTCTTGAGGAGGCATGTCCCTGGCTCAGGAGTGCCAGCCCACCAGCCAGTGGGGTGGGTGATATGTGAGCTATAGGATGTGGCTTTCCCCCCCACAACAAATCTGTGGCTCCCAATGTCCCAGGAAGGTGAGATGGGGTCTGTGAATGGGGTGACTCTGGACTGCAGTCCCCTTGATTACAGCCTTGCTTGCATTGCTGGGGGAGACGAGGTGGCAATGACAGTTCCACTGTGGCTGCTGTGCCAACTCCGTGTGCACGCGTGCACACGTGTGCACACGCATGTGTATGTGTGCATGGGTGTGCCCTGGTGTCTGCTCTGTGCACCAGCGTGGGACACTGCCCTTGCAGGGGGCGTCCACTCTTATACCCCCTGGAGCACACCCTTCAGTGGAAAGTTGGGCAGCTTCTTCCTGGAGCCCATTCTCTGTGGTTCCAATCTGTGCTTTTCAGCCCACTCCTGGGGCTGAGCACAGGGCTGGTGGGGGGAAGATCAAGGTGTCAGACACACTTTGGCACTGGACACCCCCTGCATCTCCCCCAACTCCTGTGCTGCTGCGGTGACTGTCAGTGCATCTTCCCCTCTTCCTCCTGCTGCTAATACATGCTTCTCTCTCCATTTTGGGGCTCTACTTTGCATTTTCCCGGTGAGGACATCAAGCCTGAGGAGATACCCATTTTCATGCTATGTTGTTAAGGGATTTTAGCTTTTAAAAAAGGAAAAGCAGGGCTAGTGGAAATTATTTCATCGGGAGGATCAGGCAGCTGCCCAGATTGCAACCCCCAGCACCAACACACTCTCTCCTTCCCCTGAGGCACCCTTCCTTCCCCTGCCCATTTGAGGCTTATGCAGCCACTGGGTGCTACACCCCAAATCCAGACCCATCCTACTTCTTGCACCCACCCAGGGAAGCAGAGGCTAATCGCCCCTGGTTGGAGGAGGGTCACAGACCCGAGACACAAGAGACAGTTTTGGGGGGATCCATGCTGTGCGCCCACCTTGGCAGGGAGCCTGGCTGTGTGCTGCTATGTGCCCGCACCTCCCCCTGCGTTGCCTGAGGAAGTGCTGGCACCTTGACAGGATCAATACGGCCTCCGCCAGCCTCCTGACTCCCCTTCCACTCGCCTGCCGCCGTGTCTTTTTTTGGTCATCCCCCCCACCTCCTGGGAAGGAGATACTCGGGGAGGGGTCAGACCCTGGGACACCCAGACCCATGTCCTCATCCCCTGCCATCGGGTATTGCCTTCTCCCACCACCAGATTCCAGTAGGACTGCTGCCACTCACCAGGGGCTGTCTTCTGTGAGTAGTCTCAATTCTGCGCTGCTGAAGTCGTGTGTTTCCCCTTGTCTCCCCCTCCCTCTAAACTCATGCAAGCCTGAATTTTCCCACTGAGTTTGGAGAGATAGGTGCCTGTTCTCCATAAAGCCACAGATCTTTTCGGGCACTAGCGTACAGACCAGGAGAAGGTGAGCTCTTCTCGTCCACCTTTGAGGGGCAAAATCAGAAGGGCACCTCCATCACTGCAGAAGTCAGGAGAAGTCTTGCCCTCTTCTGTGCCCTGTGTCCTTTCGTGCAAGGTGTGAGCAGTTCTGGTTCCACGGGGATGGTGAAAGCTGTGGCACGGCAGGAGTGGTGCATCAGGTGCAGAGCCCAAGGAACAAGGCAAAACACCAGGCTGACATGACTTCCTGGGTGCTGGGCTGATGGAGACAGTGCCAAAGGCTGGGTACATGGCATCAGCATCCAAAAAGAGATGCTGCCATCTCCATTCCACTGTGCCTGTGCAGCTGGGGGAATATATGCTTTGTCTTGATGCCTCCGAGACAGCAGGGCTATTTCTACCTGCCTTGCCACTGTACCCACACATGGCCCAAGGCATGAGCAGTGCCACCTCGCCTCCCTCCCGGCACCTCAGGTAGGAGCTTCTCATTTGCTCCTTGGGCACCGCATCATGGCCTTGGGCCAGCTCCCTGTTGCACAGTCGTCTTGATTTCCATTCCTACTCCTCCCTCCCGTCAGGGTTTTTCTGCTCCTGGGGAGCATTTCATGCTACCCTGGACAGCTCCCACTGCTGCTGCTTGCAGGTTTCTTGCTCGGGGAGTAAGGTCAACCATTTCTGCACCTCCAGATGTTGTTTGTCATGGTTCTGGTCCTGGTCCAAACCCAAGAAGAGTGACCAGGTGCAAAAGGTCCATTAGCTCCTCCCTGATGGAGACACCTGAGTCTGTGTCCAGCTTATCCTGAGACTCCTCACACCTTGGCCATCTCCAACATGTCTTTTTCTCCTCATGGATTTGGCTGCTGGTCCACCCAGGGAAGTGGGTGCTCAAGCTACCACAGCTACCTGGTTTGTCCTCCCATCCTCATCCGCCTTCCTCCTGCAGGGCCTTATGGCAGCTCCCGCAATCCCTTCTCCTTCCTGCTCGGCTCATGCTTGGCATCTGTCCTCGGCACTCGCTTAGCCTGGCCAAACCCTGCGTTGAGTCAGGAACACCTGCCTGTGTTTTTCTTCAGTCCCCGGATCTCCGAGGACGTTGGGTCCTTGGGGGCCTCCAGGATCTGTCTGTGACCGTTACATTGAGAGCAAGCACACGCCCCAGACCTCTCCCAGAAAACCTCCTGGGTGGGAACTGCAAATGTGTAGCTGGTGTGAATAACCCCTGGGCAAGGAGCAGCCTCCTAGAGAGTGGGGGGGATTCTGGAGAGGGGCAAAACAGCTGTCAGGAGCAGGTGCCCTGGCAGCTGCAGTAGATGAGTGCTCAATTCTGGCTTTTCACTTCCTTGGTCTCCCATGCTATTTGGGGTTCCCAAATGTGCCTCCAGCTATGCTGGGTGTTTCTCTGGCAATGCTCAAATCCAGGGCCATGCCTGCAGTTGATGTCCATGGTAGTAGGTAGTGGTGAAGACCTAGAAACAGTTTGCAGGCAGCATGGTGTGCTATCATGTGCTGCTCTGTCTCTCTGGGGAGACAAAAGAGGATCCAGCTCCAGTAGGGAAGGAGACCTGCAGGTCTGTCCCTAGACTAAACGTAATGTTTGGGGATGCTCATTTCCACTTTGCCTAAGCTCCAGTACCAACCACTGCAACTCCCGTTTTGCAAAGACATCTTGATAATCCCACGCCATCCTGAGCATCCCTGAGTGTACCAGCCCCACTGGGCAGGTGTTCCACAGTGCCTGTGCTGCTCAGCTGCATGGATGGGCACTCCTGCCTTGAGCAGACATGCTGTAAGCTGAGGGAAATGGCACTCTTGGGAGATGAAAATGAGGCCTCTCTGGGTGCAGAGGTGGTGTGACCAGCCGGGATGCTCACCTGTGGCTGCAGTGTGCTCTGTGCTTCCTGAAATGCTGCACCTCTGCTCCAAACCTCATCAACCTACTCATCCAGTGGCTGCCACCTTCTGTGTTCCCACCAAGGGTTCACTCCAGTTTATGGCAAGGTCACTTCATCCGATTAGGCCATCATCTCTCTTCTGGAAGCTGTACTCCTGTCTCCCCCCACTGCTCCCTGCCCCCTTGCTAGGACTTGCATCTTGCTAGGCTTGCCAGATATGGGGCTTGGGCCTTCCAAAAGTGAGTCAGGCCCTGGGCTGGGCTGCCATGCCAGGTCAGCATCCTGCTCCCACACAGGCATATCCCTCGGGGATGGATCAGGAGCACTGAGTGCTTCATGCATGGCTTCTGCTGTGAAGCTCTTTTGGCCTCCAGCATTCTTGCTTCTGGATCTGTCTCTTGTGCTTGGTCTCAGGTCTTGCACTGGGCTGGTTTGGGGCAACTTTGTTGCACCCTTAAGCAGGACTAGACTTGCCATGGAAGTGGCTGCATGCCTGCCCAATTGACGCTCAGGCAAGCTGGATGGCAAGCCACCCGCACATATGGCCTCCCATACTCTGCATCCATGGCCTGAGTGTGGATGGAGGCCTCCGTGGCACCATTCATCAGAACGTTTAGCAAATGAGCAGTGCAGGTCTACAGCTACATCTGCTCTCTGTTCCCTTCCTCCACTTGCACTCCAGATCCATCTTGGTGCCACAGACCACCAGGTGACCTAGGGAGATGTGACTTGATCTTCCTCAAACCCCTCAGCCACAGGAACAGACTGAGGCTCAAAACCCCCAAGGTGATGTTCAGTGAGACAACAGCTCCTCCCTAGTGTCACTCTCCATGTCCACCTTCCCTGCACTGCAGCACCTGGGGATGAGCCAGGGAAGGGGTGCAGAGCCCTACTGGCAGCCCTGGCCAGTGGCAGTACTCATGGTGCAAGGGCAGGGTGAATCCCAGTGTTGCTGGTGCTGGGACTCATGTGTGCTTCTCACCTTAGCAAAGCAGCTCATTAATTGCTGCTCAAGCCATTGTTAAACGTTATTGTCCACACACCCCAAGCAGTCAGAATGGAGGGCACGTTTATGAGAAAGAGCATTGACAGATTTATGTGGAGAGAAGTCATAGAGAAAGGATTGCTCAAGCTTCATAAATAGACCCGAGGAAAAGAAAAAAGAATTTAAAAAATAGGTCAAATCGCATTGAACTTCCTGTTGAAACAAGCCTGTTTGAGCACTGGCCCTGGGGACAGGCAAAAGCAGGCAGTGTCCACTGGGGAGGGGCTGGTGAGTGCACCCCAGGGAAGGTGGGAGTTGACAGGGCAGCAGCTTCCCGAATTGACAGCCCACACCCATGGCCTCGGGGGACCTGCCTCCCCCTGCCCTGCCTAGGCACAGCCCACTGCTCGCCCAGGCTTGTGCCCAGAGTTTCTCTGACTGCAGCATCCATGGCCGGAACCCTGGTTGGGTCAGTCTTTTGCAGAAAAGTTCCTGGGGAGGTGCAGGCTTTAAATAACCGCAGGATGGAGATGCCACAGCCTCCCCAGGCAGCCCGGTCAAGCATTTAATTACTCCTGCAGGAAAAAAAAAAGTTGTTTCTTCTGTTTAAACAATATTTCCTGTTTCTCTTTGCACCTGTCACCTCTTGTCAGCTTGACACTGTCTTGTTCCATCCTCCCTTCAGATACTCACATACATTAGTAAGATTCCCCCAAAACCATATCTTCTCCAGGCTGAACAATCTCAGCTCTCTCAGCCCCTCCTCATATAAAAGATGCTCCAGTGCCATCTTTGTGGCCCGTCCCTGGACTCTCTCCTGTACATCCATGCTTCTCCTGTATTGAGCTGGAGCCAGCACTCCAGAGGTGTGGCCTTACCAGTGCCAAGCAGAGAGGAAGGATCACCTTCCTCAGACCTGCTGGCAACACTTTGACTAATGCAGACCAGGAAACCATTCAGTGCCTTTGTCCCAAGGGCACTTTGCTGGCTCATGGTCAACTTGGTGTCCACCAGGATCCCCAGGCCCTTTTCCGTCAAGCTGCCGTCCAGCTGGTCAGCTGCCAGGGTTTGTTTCTCGCTCGTTTCAATTTCTTTAGCTCTATCGGGGTTCTTTTGGCCCATCTGGAGATTAAGTGATCCCAGAGGGATTGCTACACAAAGCTTCCCAAGAATGATGTGAACCCACAGGGCAAGTGACCCTTCCTTGTAGCTTCACTCTTGCCCCTGCCCTGTGATGCTCACTGAATCCAAACTGGGAGAGAAAAGGCTCCTTCAGGTCCCCACAAGCATAAGCATCCCCCAGGCACAATTCATTGCTTTCTCCTTTGTTCTCACTGCTTTTCCTGGAAATTCCAAGCATCATGTTTGCTAGGTTTTTGAGCACTCCGGTGCCATGAGCTGACACATCTACCAAGTCAGGATTACTCCCCGCTTCCTCTCCAATTTGCATTTATGCACTTTGAGTTTAATCTGCTGTTTTATCGTCCAACTGCTTGCTAACCGTCAGCTCACGGTGTGTGTCTGTGAGCCAGCCAGAGCCTTCGAAGCACAAGGCATGCTGACAGCGAGCTGGGAATTAGCGAGCCAAAAAAAGCCCTGAGTGGACACCCCTGCAGTCTTGCAGGGATGGTGTCTGCAGGGGGAATGGTGTGTCTTCTCATCACACCATCACAAAGCCCTGTGCCAGCAGGAGCATCCCATCCTGTCCTGGAACTTGCTGCCAAAGGCTGCAGTGGCACGTGGCTAGGTCCTGCTCCAGCACTGCCAGTGTGCTCCCTCTGTCACTGCTGTTGTACCCTGCTCTGGCACCACCAGCATTGGTCTACCTTGCTCTGGCACTGCTGCTGTGCCTCGCTCTGGCATTGCCAGCACGCTGTGGTGGGACTGCAGAATCTCTGTCCATGAATGTTAAACAAAATAGGGCTCTATCTTATGTAATGGTGTTTAATATTTAATGCTGTTACTTACAAGGAGGGTGTTATGCACAGACAGTGCCTGCGCTAGAGGCTTCCACTAGTTGATTTCCTTCCCTGAAGGGGCACAAGTGGCCTCTCTCTCCCTTCCTTGGGGTCTTCTCTGTTTTGAAGTGACTTGAGTAGAGGCGTTGCCTCCTCTTCCCTGTTGCACCAGGCTCTCACTCCAGGGGAACATCCCAGAGGTGTTGCTCCAGCTTCCATCAGATCAGTTTCCTCTGTCTCAGTTCACCATACCGTTGCAGCCTGCTCCAAGCCATGCATCTCCCTCACCACTCTTACCAATTGATACCGCCGGCTCTGGGAGGGCTCAGCCCCAGCCAGATCCCAATTAGCTGTTACACTTGTTAGAGAGCCTTCCTGCAAAAGCTGGATTAGTAGCCTGAGTGCACTCTGGGTGCACTGCTCCCAGTGGCTTTCCTAGCCCCAGGCTGCCTAGCTCTGCCTTCAAAGAGGGGAGTTCAGGGCTGGGATACATTAGGGGTCCCAGGGGAGCAGGATATTGTTCTAACAGGCCTTCAACCCCTCTTCAGGACATTGACAGATCTGCTGAAGCAGCCAGGCCACAGCCCCTCTGAGAACATGGACAGCCTCATGGGAGGTGTGCAGGTTCCGCTGGGAGAGGGACTGGCCCGGGGGCCCCCTAGAAACAGCACAGGTAAGGCGCTGGTGTGGTGGGGAAAAATAAGTTCCCTTGAGTGAATAAATGCAGTGTGGGAGGGTGCAGCCTAAAGCTGAGCCCCTACCCATCTCTGCCCCTCCAGACAAGCCACCCTTGAACAACGCAGTGGCCATTGCCCCCTCAGTGGGGAGGCCCCACAGCCATGGCAAGCGCCTGCCACTGGCCCTGTCAGCCCCGGACTACACTTCCTACACCACCCTCAAGGTTGGAGGTGAGTGCTGCTGCCATGTGGGGTGGGATGGTGGCCAGGGACATGCACCCTGTTTACCCCAAAAACCAAATGGGTAGGGGCATGAGGCTCACAAAAGGACACAGGCAGGACAAGCATCCCAGTTTCCCAGTGCTCCTGGGATGGTTGCTCACAGCAAAAACTCTGCAGCTTCTCCACCACTTCACCAGCCAGCTGTGCTGCCCAGCCAGTCAGGGCCCAGGGCCCAGGGTCCCCCACAGATCCACTGTGCTTCCCAGTGAACCAGCACCCAGGATCCCACACAGACCTGAAGCACTGCCCACCCCATCAGCGCTCAGGATCCACATGGACACACTGCACTGCCCAGCGGTCGGGTCCCCGGGATCTCCCCCAAAAGCACTGCCCAGCCAGTTCGTTGCCAATATCACCCCCCAGCCAATTACCACCCAGAATCCCTTCTACAGCCCCATCCCAGCCTTCTCCACCACTGCACCCTCCCCGGTCCCCCCTGTGCCAGCAGAAGGGGGTGTTCCTGGCGGGGGTGACACTGCACGCCTGTCCCCACAGAGAGCGCCACCGAGGACTTCTACAGGCGGTTTGGGGGGCTGGAGCCACCCCCCGCCAGCACACTGACCTTCCCAGCAGAGACCCCGGTGCTGGCCGAGGGCTGCCCCCTGCCCAAGGCCAAGGGCCCCAAGGTGCCAGGGGGTCTGGCCTTCCCAGGGGGCTGGGAGGGGGGCCCCCACCGCGGCCCCCGCCGGCCGGGCCTGGCCACCCTGCGCTCTGAGGGGCCACCCGAGGCCTTGGGCCCCTCCACCTCGCTGTACGGGCAGCACCCGCGGCACCTCGCCACCAACAGCAAGACCGAGGTCACCGTCTGACGGCCAGTGCCACCGGGGACTGGGCTGCCCCCTCAGCCCACCGGAGGAGAGAGAGCATCACAGGACTTACACAAACTGCGACGCTGGCCAGAGCGGGAGACGCGCCGTCCTTCCCGGCGCCAGGGATGGCGGCTGCCCGCTGCACTTCACCATCGAGGAGGCACTGGGGACTTATCCGGGCAACAAGTTTCAAGCGTTCTCAGCCCACCCTCGGGAAAGGCTGAGCCGGGGACACACTGGCAGAGCCGTACCCTGCTCAGAGGATGGGGACCAGTGCTGGACAGACTGGGAACAGATCCTGCTGGGGCCAGGCACCCGCACCTGGTACTCTGACTAGGTGCGGGGAAAAGCAATTGACTCAAAGCACCGCCCCTACTGCAAAGCCCGAGCAGCCCCTTTCCCTCCCCAGCCTCCTCCCTTCCCCACTGTCCCAGCCTCCACCTTGTCAATAAATAACACATTAAACTGTATGGCCTTGGTATGAATTGGCTGAGCAACTTGACACTGCTCACAAAACCTTCCCCGGGGGCAGCAGGGTGCAAAGCCCACTCTCCCACAGGGCTGGGGAACCCCCCGCGATGGGGGACAGGGTGGGAATACAGCTTCCAGGGCCAACTGCAAAACCCTTCAAGCAGCTGCACAAAAAAACTCTCCTCTGTCTGAAGTTTAATGGTTCTGACAGAGTTTTACCAGGGGGAGCAGAGAAACAAAGAGATGGAGCGAAAGGACATTGTTCTAAAGCAAGGTCAGGTAACAGCCTTCCTCCCTCAGAGAAGCTCCTAAAATTGCAGGCTTCTGGCCCAGCTCCACCTTGCTTGGCTCTGCTCAAGCCATCATCCCCTTGAGTTGCTTCCAGAGGAGCATGGAGACACCACACTTGCTCCACCAAAGGTCTCTGACTGCAAGCCATACAGTTCTGTTCTCTAGGTTATCCAGAAAAAGGACTGACAGCTTCCCGAGGCACCTGCGAGGTTTTATGCGTGTAAAGGACTTTTCAAGCTCACCTCTGCTTAAGAGCAGCTGCTGGGTGGGACGAAAAGAGCCAAGAGAAAGAGGGCAGGTGGGAGGTGGTGGTAACATTCATCTTTATTAGGTAACAGATGCTCAGGAGCCCTGGAACAGGGTTTTCAGACAGCAGATATGTTCCCTGGGGAACTTCCCCACCACCAGTTGCATCTCATATCACAAAGCATCCCTACTCTGAACTCCATGTGGATAAATAGACTTTCTTCACATAATCCATAAAACAATTTCCTCTCACCCACAAACCAAAAAGTTACAGTATATACACACACATATAAAAAAAGTTGTAGGGACAGATGGACAGCAAATTTTTGGACAGTGTAGAAAAAACAAAACAGGGCAAAGACCCCTGGCTCTGGAGGGGGCAGAGACATACTAGCCATGCTGGACCCTTGGAGCTTCATGCTATTTACTACCTGGGTTTCAGCCCAACAGCTTCTCCCAGCTCCTGGCCCAGCCAGTATTCCCTGCAGCCCAGCCCCCAGGGCTCAGACTACCCATTAGTGACAAAGTGAAACCTCAGCATCACTGCTTTCCCAAAGCCTTGCCTCCCATTTTACTAAAGCACAGAACTGCCCGTGTGCTGCACGCAGACCTGGAGAAAGGCAAGATAACTCAGAGGTTGCCACAGGCAAGGAGTTTCTGTATTTTAGGAAAAAATACTCCATGACAAGGAAGACAGCACGAAAGCCATGGAAGAAGATAAACACCAGGAAGAAACAATCTACCCCCCCAAAACAGGATCACTGATAAGCTAGGGAACTTGGGAATGAGCAATCAAAATGTGTACAGACTCAGAGCTGTTCTGCACGCTTAAGGTACCTGCTCAAAGCTGAAGTTGCTGCCACCAGAGCATCCCCTACACTAATCAGATACTCTTGAGAACAACCTCTTCCCCTCACAAAATGAGCTCCCCCTCCAACCACTGACTCCAGGAAGCAAGGGACACCTCTGCCAGTAGGACAGTACCAGCCATTGCAGCTGGGTATCTACCAGCTAGTCCCCAAATAAAGTGGGGAAGGGAGGTAAACACCTTCTGGTCCCCCCACTTTTGTCCACAGCTACTGATCACAATCACTGGGAACAGGCTTTGCTGGGACACAGGTTTCTCCTGGCCCCAGTTTCCATCTTCTTGAAGCTGGGCAACTCCAGGACTAGCACTACCTGTGTTCAATTACTGTAGCACATGAAATGGCCCTCCTAGATGCCAAAAGACGCTGTGCAAAGGGAAACCACAAGCCCCTATCTTTCTCCTCTCATTTTGAAGGAGCTCATGCCTCTCTACAAAAGCTGGATACATGTAAAAGCTTCTTGCAAAACAGTCCAAGTTTGCAGGAGTTGGGCAGTACAGGCTTGACTGGGACAGGATGTGTTTGGATGGCTGCCTGTATTTAAATGCTTCGAGCTGCCAACATGGAGAACATGTTGGCCGTATGCACGGAGAAACAGCAATGCCCACTTGATAAAGGCTGGTTTCCACATATGCACATGTGAGAGGGCAACCACTCTGCACTTCTTTGGAGAGATGCAACAGGAAAGGCAGAGAAAGAGGGCAAACCGTTCTCTCCCTGTCCCAAATCTGCCTCCCACTCCTGGAAAGTCACAGGCAATTCAACACCTGCAAGTCAAACTGCTCGGAATAGCAACGGTAGCAAAGCTGGGAGACTTGCACCCTGAACCAATGCCTCCCAATTCCTGCAGGAGCTGTGGAGCAGTTAGAGAAAGTAAGGAGAAACAACCGAAGACAAGTTCTGGGACTAGGAGTTGAGTAAAATAAAAAAACTGTTTCTAAAAATTGTTTCTGCATCAACGAAAAGGCACCAGAGAAGCATTCACCCTTCATGCCAAGTGCAGGGCACAGCATGTCCACCTCTGCTGCCACCCAGCACCAGATGACTAGGGATGCCAAGGTCTTCTACGAGGCTCCGCTTGTTGCGGGCCGCTACAAACACACCCCCTGCTGAAAACCAGGGGCAGCTATCACAGGAAAAGATGCATGAAGCAGAAGGGAAGGAAAATCTGCTGCATTGTTCCCCATGTTTTTGTAAAGCCACAAACATTCCTATAAAAAAACCTGTATAAAAACTGTAGAGAAATTTTCCAGGCAGTACTGGCCCCAAACGATACTCCCAGAGCACCTCGGTAAGTTGGGTCTAGGGGGCTTCAGTTTCCTGACACACAACTCAAGGAAAGCTGGTGCCTTCCTCTCTCTTTTGGGAACAGCCTTAGGCCCCAGCAGCCCCACAGGACAATGCTTGAACAGATCCTCTGCCCTCCCCAGAGATTTCCTTTCTGCAGAGGTGTTTGGAAAGGGAACAAAATACCCCTGAGGACAGACACAGGATGTGCCACTTCTCTATGCCGTGGGCTTCTCTCCCAAGCAAGGATGGGTGACTTGTGTCGGGGCAGTGCTTCTCAACAGCCCCAGGCATAGTGACAAAAACCACAACTAGACAGATTCCTGCTGCAATGCCTGAGAACAGGCAAGAAGGCTAGTAAAGCTAAACCTGGGGCAAGTTTAGAAAAAAATCAAACCCAAAACCCTCCCTCCCTCTCCCACCCCATCCTGATCCCACCAGCACAGCCCTAACCTAGCACTTCTTCTAAGCTCCTGAAGGGAAGTCCAGGCTGATGCTCAACCAGGCTGTCTTTGCACAAAGGGAACTCATGCTGGCATTAGGAGGCAGCGATGGCCGTGCCCCCACTGAGCTTGACGATCATCTGCTGGCAGTCGTTGCAGGAGCGTTTGTCCCCCACTTTCTCCAGGGTGCGCGCAGCCTCGGCCAGCAGCACCGCTCGCTGGCCCGGCGAGGACAGGAAGGACAGGGGGAGATGGCGACAAGCCAACAGGATGGCCGTGGCTCGCTCCCTTTGGCCTGGCAAGGTGTCCAGCTCACCTATGGGCAAAGAGTAAAGAGAGAAAACTCATAACAGAGCTACCACCTGCTGGAGAAAACTCCACCCCACAGGCCCTCAACTGCCACCACTGAGCACAGGCTTCTCTGGCTGGCATCCCCCGGCTAAGCCTAGAGCAGGGGGCACCCTGAGGGCCTTTAGGCTAGCAGAGGAGAACGCTCTGAGCTAGAGTCAGGTAGGAACTGTCAGTCCTGTCTTCTACAGACAGTTCCTTTCCGTTCACTTCCTAGGGCTCATCCCAACACTGGCATGCATGTTTACCCATTCCCTTACATCTTTCATCTCTTGGCTCTTCCTTTGAGAATTCCCAGCTTCTGCCTTTGCACTAACTGCTCGAAACTCCAGACTGCCAAATTTCATGCAGGTCTAGCTTCACGAAGGCAAACGTTTTCCAGTCTGGTCGCCAACACCTCCAGCCCAGGGCTGGTAGCTCACATTAGCTGGTTTGTAAAGAACCTGGCAGAAGCATTGCCTTGAACCACAGGCTGATGGGACCTCATTATCCTGACACAGCAGAAGATACTGCAGGTTGTATCTATGCTCCCACATCTTGCCCAAGCACTAACCCCTACCAGCCCCACAGGCAGTGGGTCACTGTCTGGGCCCTGGGGCTGACCTTGTTTGCTGCTCTGGGGTGTGCGCCGCCTTAAACTGTGCTCCAGCAGCTGGTGGGTGCGGGTAGGGCTGGCACCGGCCATCAGGCGCACAGTGGCCTCGTGGAGGAAGACCTGGAAGAGAAGGCAGAATGGAAGATGAGAGGTGGGCTGGCACAGGTACGATGCTGTGGCTGAACTGTCATCTCTCAGCCACCACATTTCAAGAACAGAGCATTGACACCTTGACAAAAGCAGAGACCCATTTCCACGCTCCTCCCTCATCTTTCCACCTGTCTCTGGGGAATTTGCAGGTCAGGGCAACCATGAGGAAGGAAAAAAAAAATTGACACCTAACGGTGAGTGGCCTGGAAAGGGGGAGGATTGAGAGCAGGGAACAGAGTAGAAAAATCTGAGAGCAAACTTTGGCACTGTGGTCCAGGCAGGACTCTCAACCTATGCTGCTAG